TAGTGCTTCATACTACTGGTGAAAAACAGCCTATCACAAAAGCTTCAGATTCAATGTTATTGGCTGAGGAAAATTTGGCCCTTGTCTGCTGCGAGATGGCTTCTTTCATGCAGCTGAGGGCACTCCTGTACACCACTTCTCCTCTTTATAGTGGAGCTGAAACAGGATGATGAGAATTTGGGCAGCCATTTTAACTCCCCCCCCCTTCTGTGCCATGCAGTCAACACACCATGACTTTCTCCTTTTCTGGAATTAGAATCACAGGTATGTTATGTTTTGTCTTTGTCCTCCATGTCCTATGACCCGTTCCCTTCCCTAATGTCTGATGCACCTATCACCAAATATTTTGTTCTTCCTCCTTTGCCCAATATTGGGGTCCATGCTGAGTGTTTCACCCAGCAATTACGTTTGGGGTTCAGCATGCTGCATCTACCATATGCGTTTGAGGCTCATGCATTAGCATATCATTGTTTAAAAACTTTTCATGTATTTGCTCCTCTCCTTTTGGGGTTGAGACCCTGATACCTATGTGCACTTTTCACAGGCACAATTTTCCCGCCTTCATCTGACCTTAAAACCTCTCCTACATTACCTTTCTTCCATACATTTTTTGTCTGAGGCTATCCATTTTTCCCCTGAGGGGTTTTTGGTGAATGCCTGTTCCTTCCTCCTGTCCATCTTGGAACACTTGTCTTCCTCTGCCCTGTCCCTCCACACATGGATCCTTTTTTGTTGGGACCTGTTAGGTACAGATGATCTTTTAACTCATCCCCCGCTGCATCTGTGTGAGATTTACACATAGCCCCCTTTTTACAGCAAACAGTTTTTGGAGTCTTTTTGATTCATTGGAGTCGAGAGTGGAAACCACCCATTTACATACTTCCTTCTCCTTGACCACACATATGTTATAACCTTCCCCAGCTCCAGTCCTTGTATCCCACCCCTCCTTACTCTCCATCACCTGTCCCTTCCTCATGGGTCACTCCTTCAGTGTACTATTGTTCACTGCCAACCTGCATGCCATCAATGGTCCCAGTGAATATCCTGTGGGATTTGGTCCAGTAGGGGCCAAACTGCTTCTTTATGCAGATATTTGGGAGACATTTACCACAAACCCATGGTTTCTTCTGGTCTTATCAGAAGGGCTATCTCTTCATTTCCTTTCACCTTCTCTCCTATCACCTATTCCTGTTCCTTCCCCCCTCCTCAGGATCTTTTTTCCAGCAAGTTTCTTTCTACAGCAGTTCAGGATCTTCTCCTCAAGGGTGCTATAGAACTGGTAGTTTCTACTCTTCCAGGTTTCTATTCCCATCTTTTGTGGTTCCCAAGAAGACTGGGGATTTGGGTCCTATTATAGATCTCTGCAGTCTGAACTGCTATATGGAAGTTCCTCGTTCACCATGGAGTCTTTTCTATCTCTTCGATGGGCTTTTACTCCAGGTCTTTGGATAATGAAACTCAATGTATCCGATGCTTACATTCATATCCCCATTTCCCCTGCATTCCATCGTTATCTTCACTTTGTCCATGGGGAATGTGTATATCACTTCCGAGCTCTCCCTTTTGGGCTGGCCTTGGCTCCCTATGTATTTTGTCAGGTGGTCAAATCCTTTGCCCAACTTCTTCATTTGCATGGACTTTGTTTCTATCATTACATGGATGACTGGCTCCTTCTAGCACCTTTGCTTTTGGCTTATTCCATCAACATGCACTCCTCAGGGAAGCTGCTCACACCAACTCAATACCTCTTTCATCTTGGAGTATTCTTCAATCCCCATCTCAGTCTGGCTCAGCCTTCTCCCCCTTAGACTGCATTCCATGGAGCTTATGATTCAAAGGCTCAATCCTTATCTCTTCTCCCTGTGTGAGAGATTCTTTCTCTTTTGGGGATTTGGGCTTCCTTGGAGGCCCTTATTCCCCTTGGCCATGCTCACATGCGATCTTTTCAGTGTGTACTTCATGTTCAGTGGAGCCTCACCAAGGATCCCCTGGATTACCTGGCATCTCTTCCTCCTTCCCTCCAGACCGATGTTGCCTGGTTGCTGGACTTGAACAACACATCAGCTGGTGTCCCTCTTTCTCCTCCATGACTGGAGGTGTATCTTTTTATGGATGCTTTCCTTTTGGGTTGGGGATATATTGCAATGCCATGGGTCTTTAGTCGAATTGAATTTTTATATCAATTTTCTGGAACTGCAGGCTGTTCATTTGGCACTGGCCCATTTCCTGCTGGCTTGTCTTTTACACCACTCAGCAAGGGGCACCTGGTCACGGTATCTGTGTTTTCACACATTGGATAAGTTGTTCTCAGCTCACAGCCATCGTATTTGTTTTCTGGCTTGTCATATCCTGGGTGCTCTCTGTCTTGTCATGGATTAATTATCCCATTCCAACCACATTCGCCCCACAAAGTGGTCCCTCGATCCTCAGGTTTTCAAATGGCTATGTTCTCAGGTGAGTACTCTCTGGCTGGATGCTTTTCTAGCTATCTGAATACCAAACTCCCTCTGTTTTGGTTCCATATTCCTCATCCTTCAGCTTTAGTGATAGATACCTTCATTCAAAATTGGATGGGCCTCTACATTTATGCCTATTCCCCCATCTATCTTCTTCCCAGAGTCCTATCTATTATCCAAACCACTCTGTGTCAAGTCATTCCAGTGGCTCCATTCTGGCCAGCTCAACCTTGGTTCCCACTACTTTCCCTCTTCAGTTTCACCACTGTTACCTCTTCCTCTCTCCCCTTTCCTCCTCCATCAACCTCATTTGACAATGCTTCATTCATCTGTCTCCACACTCCAGCTTCATGTATGGCTTTTTTCTGGTCTATTGAGAGACGTTCTGGACTTTCCACCCAGATAGCATCCTTACTTTCCCACTGTGTCCACCCCTCTTCTGTGTCAGTGTACCAGGAAAAGTGGCATATTTTTTGCCATTGGTCTCCATTGGGGATTCATCCCTTTTTTATCTTCTGTCCCTCACCTATCTAAATTTTTAACCTGACTTTTTGACAGTGGTCTTTCTGTTTCGACTGTTGTCAGTTATAGAGCAATGTTATTCTATAACTTTCGTTTTTCTCATTTCTGCCAGGTATTTTCCTTTCCTGTTATTTTTTATATGTTTCATTCCTCTCACCTTCATCATCAGCTTTGACCCACACCCTTACAGGATTGGGATCTTAATGTTGTCCTGCATGCCCTTTCCCTCCCTCCATTCGAACCATTGGCTTCATGTTCCATATATCATCTATCCTTAAAAACCTTTTCCTTCCTCATGTTTGCCTGTGGACATTGACAGTCAGTTGCTAACTCGCACTGTTGAAATGGAGTGTTCCACAAGACTACTTGTAGGTTCATCCTTGAAGTGTCTTGCTTCATAAATATGTTTGTCCTGGACCATCCACTCATGGACTAACAGGCGTAAAGGAGAAGGGATTGCTGCCCTTTCCTGTCATTCCCTTGATTGTATAAACCGGGTACAGTCTGCTTTTCAAAATAGGGTTTCACTATCATCCACTGCACTTTCTCTGGTGCTGTGTTCCTCTAAGCTCTCCAACGCATTTTCTCTCTTCCTCTAGTGGAGTATGGGAGTCCTTACCACTAGCTGCTTTGGTGGTAGACCATTGAGACTTCCTCTTGTGTGTGCTTAATTCCACTCAGTTGAGAGTAGGAAGGTGGGGTTCTGTTGGTGTAGGTGGTGTAACTATCCTCCTACTGTGGATCTGACGTACAATTTCAGATGTTGTCTGGTGTGGACTGGATTTTTCCATCACAAAGCAATATGCAGCTCACCCTTATGATTGGGAATCCTCCTTCCTACCACTGCCTGGATGTTGATTCTTGAGCAACTGGTGTTGGTTGGAGCTGGACCAGTTAACATAAGTCCTCAGTTGTGAGTGGGCTGGGACCCTCCTTTTACCACAGACTAGATGATACATTCTCAATGCCACACGGTTTTGGAGTGGAGTTGACCCTCCATGTTGCATTTCCATCTTCCTACCATCATAAAGATGTCAGTTCCTGGGGGGTACATGTGTTGGGCATGTTGGATATGCACACATGATGACTTGGGTTCTCGGAATGGCACTCCTTCTTCCTTTTTTGTTTCTGTGTCTGAAATGAATGTTAGAGGGGCCCTCCTCCTACCATGGCCAGTAGATCCTATCATGGTGTCACTGGTTTTGGACTGGAGTTGATTTGCCACTTATGGTCTGATGCTCCCTAACCACTCTACACCAAAGCCACTTTTTTCTTTTCAGATGTGCCTTTTTTCCACCTATTTCATGTCATATTATTTCATCAAGGGCAAAGAGTATACCTGGTTCAAATGTGATGTGGTCTCCCATGAGTGTGTTTCTTATACATTGAGATGACACACTCCTTGGGGGACTCTTCTAGATAACCTTTACACCAGTCCCTCCACCTGATCAATGTGGGATTCTAGCTATTTTATGAGCAGAGGTAAGTTATCGTATTGGGAGTTAATATTTTCCTACATTGAAAATATATTTCCTCTCACATTTCCCACCCGTACTCCTCATTTCTGGTGTGTTTTTTTTGTGTGTAATCTCGAGGTGAAGATTGGGTTCTACTGCATAGAGGGACTTAGCTGTGATAGAAGGGTTTGTCACACTCCTATTGGTGGAGGACTGTCATATGTTAATTTGTATGCTTAAACTCAACTGAACCACGTAAAACTAGCTGAGAGTTTTAAGGCTAATGGCGAGTAAACATTTGTACACTAGAGGGCAGTCAAGTCGAGAATAGCTGTAATTATGAGAAAAGGTAAGTATCTATCAGAAATATATTTTCAGTGTAGGAAAATATTAACATTCTGGATACATTATCTAGAATAAAACATGCTCTTAAAACTTGATTTGATTTTCTTCAGTTAATTAATTCTCTTAAAAACTTGATACTGACATTTTCACATTGCACATTTAAAATCTGAACATCAAACAATCAATTGTTTTAAAGTGTTGATGTATTTTTTATTTCTAGAGAGAGAAACTGTTCCACTGCCATGCAAATAGCTAAGGAAGAGTTTAATATTCCAATTCTACTCAACCCAGAAGATATTGCTAGCCCAAATCTGGATGAACTGTCCGGAATGACTTACTTATCCTATTTCATGAAGGAAAACAGTCCAGGGTATAAGTCCACTTTAAATTGGGTGCAGAAAAAACTTCCAGACTTAAACATTCAAAATTTCACTGTAAGTTTTACTTGTTTTTCTTTTCTTTATATTCATATCAGTACTCATTCTACATTAAAATTCAGAAAAACCTATCTTATTAATATTAATAATTTTACTGTATATTATAAATGTACTTACCTAATTCTCTTCATAAATATATGTTCAGTCTTAAATCCTTGTTTTTATTAAATTACATGGATCATTACCATACATTAGTAATAAGTGAAAAAAATTAAGAAATTAGTAACTTTTTTTTGGCATTATTTCATTATTTGTTACATCTCTCAATCCACTTTGGACATAAATTATTTAGAATGGGTTATGTAGCACATTAAAATGAGCTGTATAATAATTACACTGTGAATATCATAATAAAGACTTTTATAGATTAGTAAACAGCAAATGGTACTCACTACTTATATTTAAAGTTATATTGGACTGTTTCTGTTTAAAATAATGATTGTATTGTTACAGAATGTTTTTATTTGCAGTCATTTTACAGTGAACTTAACAACAAGTTGGGACAGTATTTCTGAAACAAGTAGTTAAATATGATAGATTTTCTCAAAGTTACATACAGGGCTGGACAAACCAGGTGACTGCTCTGGGGGTGCAAAATGCCTCTCATAAAATTTATCAATGGCATGAATATAATCTTTAGGACATGCTTTAAAAGTACCCAATAGTGGTATGAAAATGTTGAGAATTTGGCATGTAAAGTCAATGAAGAGAAAAAAAAATCGAATAAAGAGGATGAAAAATGTAGGAAATGTATAGGGCAACAATGTTTATTCTGCCTGGGGTGTCATTTTTACTAAGGCTGGTTCTGGTTATATAATGCTGCATGCTGTAGAGAATTTCCTAAGGATCATTGCCCCATTGCAGTATGTCTAAAATTGGGTTTTGATACCCATGATGGGCAGAGGATGGATAACCCATTGTATAGCTTTGTACTTATCTACAAACAAACAAACATAAGCATTAGGAGTACCAAGAACTTCAATGTACTACATCAGTAACTTGTCTGAAAACTTGAAGTAATGGACAAACATTTGATTTGTAAAATACTGGATAATAAGGAGAAGCTTACAAGCAGACATACAAAAACAAGTTTACTTGTTGTATGTTGAACAGAAATTTATTTTTAAACATGAAAATTTATTTATGCAGACTGACTGGAATGATGGCTTAGCTTTGTGTGCCTTAGTTCATTCACTGGGAGCCAGCATACCAGGATATTCTCATCTCAGTCAAGAGCGATCAGCATGGGAGAAAAACTTGAAATTTGGTAACCTTTATGCTTATTTTACTTAGTTTTGCTGTCTATTTAGAAAATACATTCCTTACTAAAAATATGACACTGCTATAAGCTCTTGTAGTTAGCATTCAGAGTTCCCCTCAAAAGGATATAAAGCTGTGTTTGCATAGAAAAAGATCCGTGTTTTCTTAATCTATGATAAACCTGAAATTAGTCTGAAACTGATGCAAATCGCTTTATAGCATGTGTTGTACTGATTTTCCTTACAGTTCAAAATGTTTCTTAGCAAGTAATCTAAGAGTATTGTAGCAAATACTATCATCCTACTTGATATCGGAGCATATTTTTGTAAGCTATATTTTTAATGCTGTAATTTGTATGTTAGCTAGAAGGTGCATGATGTTAAGATCGGCCTAGAAAACCTAGAAAGTTCTAAGATGACATCAGATTTTTCTTGCACATTTGAAGCTAGAGTATAAATACAAGATATGTGAAATGTGTAGAGTAAGTTGATTGATAGTCAAGGAAATAGTAAGTAGAGTTTGTTTTCAAGGTAGAGAGTTATTTCAAGAAGATAGTAGAATGAAACAGTCATCACTATTAGCCATTGTAGTTACCTTGTGGAAGTAAGATGATTCGTTTTACATTAGTCTTAGTTTGTTAGAAAAACTTGAATGTCATTTGTAACATAGGCCTACAAACATTTACAAAAGTTGACAAGTGTTCAGTCTTGTAGAAACATGAAAGAAAGAAAGAAATAATTTAATTTGTGATTGCTATGTGGACTGGAATTTGAGTTGTTTTTACCAGATAAAAAAAAAGAACCTTCCAGCAAGAGAGCAACGTTATGACAATATATTTTTATATATCAATTTAACATCAGTATGAGTTCAGCAAATGTATCACACACCTGAGTAATATCAGGACAAGTATCAGATACAACTGCAAATTAACATGATAAAATAATATATACTTGGATTGTATGAAGACAGTTACAGAGGGTTAATCACACACTGTTTGAAAAATTTGTAGGTGCTAATGCAGTGGCATACCACAGCAGATTCAAGCTGTGGTGTTATGGACAACATGTTTAGCACCAATATAAGTGGTCCAAAGCAAACTCCCAACCATTCATAATTGCAGTGCTGCTACAGGTAAATTTATGGTTGGAGTTACATGAAAATTATTTTCAAATAGAAACATTCATAGAGCAAAATTATTAAATGATGTAGAGCTAAAGGAAACAACATTTTAAAGAAGGGAGTCTTTAATGTTTTTCTTAGAAATGTAAAATTTACACAGCAAAATAATTAGAACAATACTGGACTCCAGGACTCTCACCCCAAGTGAATCTGGAGCAATGCTGTCATTTGCAGAGTGAAAGCTATGGTTGGGAAAGACAACCCTATGACATATTTTTGTGAATAAACAAGATAATGAAGATTTGAAGCTAATGAAGGCACACAAGTAAATGAGAAACAAAAATTCTAGCCACTCCTAAAAATTAGTAGCTATTTTCATGAGAAAGGAAAATTTTTTGTAAACAAAATTTTTATCTGTTCTTATGGGGAAATCTTGGAAAACAATTTCTTGCTGTGAGAATTTTTATGTAAACAACAAAAATTCAGCAATAAAATAATAGTTTTAGCACTTTATCTTCATCTACATATTTTCCATTTAAGAATATCTGGAAATGCTGATTATCATTTTATTCAGATTGCATTATTTTGTCTGTAAAATCCAGTCATGCCCCCCCCCCCCCAACTATAGGTGCTTCGCTTCACTCCTGCTGGAATAACAGCAGTTCCATTCAACCTGTCAAGTCCCCTAGTGCAGCTCTTATAGACTTTTGTGCCGTGCCTTTGGCATACATATACATGATCGAGGCAGACATACACATTGGAGGATTTGTGGAAAGTTAGTCAAGATGTATGGTCCTTTCACAAGAGATTGTTATCATGTAAATTGGGTATCAAGCAGTAGTGTGCAATCTTGGACATCAGTTTGTAAACAATGATGGAGAAAGTAGTTATAAGAGCAGCATTGGACCTATAACATCACTGTTAGTAGCCTCAATATAGCAAGCACCTATGTAGTACCTGAACAAATATATCATGTACCTTTGTTGTGTCAGGAGAAGAATGTCATAGAGCTGTGTAGTATCAGGGCAAGTATTTTCTTTTATAACTGTGTATTTTCAATTTCAGTAGAAAACTTATAAGGGTGATAGGTTTTATACTGTTTAAGAAATTTTAGGATTGTTATTATTCAACTTGGAAATGTAATGTGCTTCATATACTTACTTTGGTGTTAAAGATAGTGTTTCAATCTTGTATCACACAAGTTTTCCAGATCTTTTGTTTTTATTTTTAATATCAAATACTGGAGGATGAAACTTATTACATCTTCCAAATTGAAGGTTGTGTACTAAAGTCATTGCATTAATTATTAATTTAGATTTTTTTTTTCAAATGTTTGTCAAATTCTATATCAGATATTCATGTTTATATCTGTTTGGTTTTTTTACAGAGGAAAATTTTTAAATTAGTTTTTTTTATATGTGTTTCACATGTTCTTGCTTATGAATAATTGTTATCAATTAACCTTTGTGCTGACTGTTAATTGAGTACAGGTTCAATTTTGACTCAAGATAAAGTATTTCATTCCCCCTTACCTGGCATGACCTGGTGTTAGGGTGTTATACCCACAATCTGTGAGTTGTGGGATTGAAACATTTCATTAAACATGTCCACCACTTGCTCATTGGTAAAGAATAGTCCAAGAGTTGGTGGTGGGATGTATTGACTATCTGTCGCATCTAGGCTATCATTTCATAAAAATATATGTAAAAATATTTAATGTAGGTATGAATGGTGGAAAGTACTTGGGAGTGGAACCACTTCTGACAGCCAGAGAAATGGCAGATCCAGAGGTTGAGTACCTAGGTACAATGGCCTATATCTCTCGCTTTCAGTGGATTAGACCACGAAAACGACCCAGTGAAAAGATCAGCATTATGGGAATTGACTTGAATACTGTTCACATAAATAAACCTGTAAGTTTTAGCTTTTAATATGGTTCATTTGAAGTTTAAACCTCAAAATACTTTACTTATTGTGATTTACAAATTAACATTTGTAGTTTTGTCTATGTTTAACAATCTTCATTTAAGTACCAAAATATAAGAAAGTTAAGTTCTTGTGAGGAATGTGATTAGTAATTGACTCGGACAAAGTTTCCATCACCTGGGTACAGTTCTGTTATATTTCTTAATTTTTTAATACCCATGTTAGCCTTCACTTACAGTATTGCATGACTATTTTCTAGATCTCAAAAGATTCATGAACATAATGGAATGTCAAAATTAATTAAAAGGGAAATGGATATTGATGTGGTAATCTCAGTTTTCCATTTCTTGGACTTGGGATCAATCCCAAGATCTCAAAAATATGAGATGAGTGCTCTTCCAACTGAGCTAAAGAGTTAACCCACTAGTAATTACTACTACATACTTCTCGTCTCACAAACAAATCATGCCTTTGTGTCAGGGTCATGGGTCAACTACTACTTGGGCACCAGTTTTTCTGTGGTCATTTTATTTTTTTACAATTACCTTGGTTCAGATTCAAGCCCAAGACCTCTTGATTGCAGATGATCTCAAGTGCTATACCAAGTGAGCTAAAGGGTTCACCCACTAGCAGTTGCTATTAAGGCAGTTTTCAACAACTCAAATTACCACACTGATACACCTTAAATAGAAAATTAAAATTGGCCATTGTTTTTCATGCTTTGGAAATTGAGTTTGAAATAACAATGGGCGTACAGCAACTTCCTAGTCAAAACTGTAAAATAAAAATTAAATTTTTAGAATTTCAGTTTTTGATTGGTTAAATTTCTATATAAAGTTTCTAACTAAAATGTTTGATGAAATAAAATATATTTAAAATTTTCATTAAAATTAAGCCAAATAGGTGTTAAATGTCTTAGTAATAACATTTAAGCTTTAAATATAGGATGTATAAATATCTGCAACTTAAGTGTGAAAACAAAATAATTGATCGATATGTAGGCCTTCACATAATTTATTAGTGTAAGTGAAGTTCAGTACCACATTCATAATATCTGAAGTGAAGTTAAGGATCATTCAGACAGAGCAAGATAGTCTATTTATGTAAAAAGTATGAAATAAGTACATTTTTCAAAACATATATGGGGTAATTCATCAGGAGGAAAAAAAAGTTTTATAATATATATTAAAAACATGGTAATACCAAAAAACATCTTTAATATGGTCACTTCAGAATTTCCTTAAATTCCATCATCAACATTAATATAAAAAAAAATTAGTTCATAATATTCGAACTACAAAAACAACATTAGCATTTACTGAGTTTTTGTATTCAATCGGAAGTTTAGAAAGAACAGATTTAAACGGTAACAATATAATGGAATGTAACAGTAATACCAAAAACGTTATAGTGTTACCATTTAAGTCTGTTCTTTCTAAATTTCCAATTGAATACAAAAATTCACTCAATGCTAATGTTGCTTTTTGTAGTTTGATTATTATGAACTAATTTTTTTTTAGATATTAACACTGATGATGGAATTTAAGGAAATTCCGAAATGTCCATATTAAAGATGTTTTTTGATATTATTGGGTTTTTAATATTTATGTATGTGGTGATTGGAATTTTCTGTATTTATTTATGACAAGACATTACTGTTATTAAGTAATGTCATATTACATGTATTTTTCATAAAAATGAACTTATGGGTTTAATTAGTATTGTATAATAATAGAAGTTGTGCCTTTTCAAGCATTTTAGCATACATGGCATGAAAGATTCAGTCAGATTTAGGGAAATGGTATTTTAAATGCTGTAAAATAATCATTATAAAGTAGTAAGGAGTACAGTAATACTACCCTCTAGACTGTCCCAAGCACTAAACTATTATGTTGTTGTTGTTTTTTTGCAAGTTACTTAAATTTCGTCAGCCTGTATTGTGAAAGCTGAAAATCATTACTGCTTGGACTGTTGTTCACACTCTCCAGTGAATATGAATAACTTGTGATTTGATATCAGTATAAACTTAACAAAGCCACTAGCTTTTGTAATGAAGCAATTTTTATAGATATGCTCAATATTTTATTATGATCTTCAATACTGAAATATTTAATCTACTATATGAAGATTTTTTTACTGATCTGCTGAATACTGTACGTTAGTATAATGAAAGAAACAGTATGTATTACACATAGACACAGTAGTGGATTAACATATAGACCACCTAGGGCCCCAGCCATACAGGGGCCCCGATGGCCACCCAAGTAAAAAACTATGTGGTTCATAAAAGTAGAAGAATAGAGGCAAGAGTGAGTTATTATTATTATTATGTTATCATTATTCCGAAATATTACCTGGGCCTAGGTCCCCACTAAACCTCAATCCAGTTCTGCATACAGACATGCATATTATATTCATATTTTTTTAATTTATTATTTCTTTATGGAAGTTGTTTTGGTAATAAAAGTGACATTATACTTCACTTCTTATACAAAATATGCTATTTCTATGCTGCTTGTACTGTAAACAATTATTCAAAAACTTTTGTAATTGCTGGCCCATTTCTTTTGTTATCTGGTAATGTATAATTTGTTTTGCCTAATAAAACTACATCACTCCTTAACTTCTGATAAACACCAGTGTTCTTGAAGACACCTGATATGCATTCCAGAATTCCTGTAATTTTCAGCATATCTATTTATAGAAAAAATATAGTTAATGCATCACATAACAAAGAAATTGTTCAGTTTTAATGACGATAGATACCATGTTTGAACTTGTAATTTTCTGCTGTTTCACTTATTTTTTGTTTATTTTATTAAAGTGAAAATATATACCTTACATAGTAATAACCTGAATATTAGTCAAAATTTATTAGTAAGACACATATACAATAAGCATTTTTGTAATTTTAAAACTCCATTAAAATCATTTTTAGTCATTATACATAAAAATAATATTTATGAAAAATGTCATTAGAAATTTCTAGAATGGATAAAAAGTTGGATATTAACTAGGAAAATACCTCCAAAGAAAATCTCCTTGTGGTAAATTTCAGTTATCAGCAATTATTTATGAATTTTATAACAGATATTATAGAACTTTATGTTGGTTTCTTGAGAGATTCAAGTGTTTGTACATTATTAGAATCACATTCAACTTCACAATGGTAAGTCTGCATAGTGTATTTAGCAGAGTGAAAATATTATTTTCATGTGAAATACATATATAACATTTAAGGACAACAACAAACCTGTTGGTCCATCTAGACTGTCCCAACCACTAGACTAAACTATATAAAGAAACAGCAAATAAATCATAGCCAGCCCTTGTAATTCAAATATTTATCAAGTTTTTCTTTAAACTACCTTAAATTTTCTGTTTCCATCACATCTGAAGGCAACTCATTCCAAAGTCCAACTATTATGCTAGTAAAGTAAAATACTTAGCTGAAGATGACTCCTATCCTGCCAAAATTTATATTTTTGTGTCCTAAAGATGCACATTTGAAGTAAAACACGTCAAACATGTTGAGAAAATAGTTCTCTTCATTTATTCCTGAAAAACAATTCAATGCATTTATTTAGTACAGTACCATACTGTCAGTCTCTTACACAACTTATGGTGTCCACAGTTGTGTCATTAAATATTACTGTCATTTTTAATGTGAACATCTTAGTTTGTTCTAATCAGCTGAACATTTATATAAATGTGTAAACTCAGTAATGTGGCAATAAATCACATTAGAATATTTTCATAGAGAATCTAAAATCAACTGGGAGAAGCAAACAAAAAGGAAGGCCTTTTATCATTTATACAACATTAATGTTGGCTATTAGTATTAGCACTCATAGGAGCAATGCAGTCAGAATATCACATATTTTAACATTTATGTATTCAACTAACTGCATTTCTATCACTTCACATATTCCTAATAACTTTACTGATGACAGAAGTTACTTAGAGGGGTTTGCTTACTTAGAAAACAATAAAATACATTTATTTAGTACAGCACCATACAGTCATATCTTTGTTACAGATAATGTACACAACTGTGATTGGAGCAGTGGCTGCTAAGCTGTCCTATAGCTTCCTCTTCTGACACAGTTGCACTGTCCTCCAACAAACCACATTATAGATAAAGATTTAGCAATTCAACAAGATAATTTTAATGCCTAAACCTGTTTAACACTATTATCAAAACAAATTTGTAGGGTGGATATATTACTTACCTCCTACACAAGTCCTACTATTCTCACCTTTAAATACAAGAAAAGATGATGCATTGACACTATCAGTTCCCTTAACAACCTTGCCCAACTCAAGTAACAGCGCACTGTTTGGATGGCTTAAGGGACTGATCAACCAGAACACTAAGATTTTTTTAAGAACACTGTTAATGTTCTTCCCATCACACTAATAATTATACTTATAATTCAAATTATGATAATCCACATGTATTACTTTGCATTTATTATAATAAAACGTCATATGCCATTTATTTGCCAAACTCACCAAAGGATGTAAGTACTTTTGTAAAGCAGCAATCTCCTCCTCACAGCTAGCAACATCAAAGACCTTTATCATTCACAAATTTAAATATTTTATTAACCATTACTTCATCTATGTCATTAATGTAAATCAAAAAGAGGCTAAGGCCCTAATGCTGAGCCCTGAGATACCTGACTTGTGACATTAATCTAGTTGAACTGAACTCCATTTGTAATAACCCTCTGCTTTCTTCCATCCAGCCTCTTTTATACTCAATAGCCAATTTTTAACGAACCTTTTATTTAGCACCTTGTCAAATGCTTTCTCAAAATCCAGATACACCATATCCACACTCTTACCCTCATCTACACAAGCTGTAACCTCTTTTAAGAATGTCAAAAGATTACTAAGGTAAGATTTTCCTCTAGTGAAACCATGTTGGTTATCCATAAAAATTTTATACTTTTTAAAATGTTTTCCAAAACATCTTTTATCAGACTTTCAAAAACTTTTCCACCATTGATGTAAGACTGATAGGCCTATAATTACCAGGACAGTTTTTGTCACCTCTCTTGAAAAGAGTAGTAACATTAGCTAACTTGCAAAGTCATTATTAGCAACTGTATCTCTTGCATGTAAAAGCTTACGTTCCTTTGTCAGATGGCTAGTCTAGAACTTGACCTTAAATGTCAAAGGTCCAGATTAAAAATATACGGTCAATGTAATCTAATTGGTCAGAAGGACAGCCATTAAACAAAAGAATGTATTTTTTTTTCTGAAACATATTTCTTTTTTCATGCAAAAGAACTTATAGAAATATCAGAAAATGCTTTAAATACATAAATATAAACAGATAAACTTTTCCTGAGGAATTATGTTTATTTACTATTACCATTAAAGTACAAAATGGTTTTAGAAGGACTTCATTATTAATAACTGCATGTGTTCATTTTTGTTTTTCTCTTTCAGGCACATTTTAAGATTAACATATTGGATGAAATGGTAGACTCAAAAAAAATCAAAGCTGAAGTTAAAAGCTCTTCAGGAAAAATTGACTGTCGACTAAGCTTAAACAGAACAGGTGGAACTGGAACTTTTATCCCTGTAGAAACAGGCATGCATGAAGTAAGTTATGGAAAGTATTAGAAAATTTCAGCCAGAATATATATATATATATATATATATAT